CTTGAATCAAGGCAAAAAAAAAAAAAAAAAATTGAGGCTAACTTTCAAGAAAAGTGTAACCCTGCATTAGGCACATATGTTTGTACTGCACAATTACGCATGTGAGTAGTAAGTGTCATCCACCTATTAAAATGTTACGTAGAATAAGGAAAATCATTTTTATGCTACTGTTGCTCCAACAAACACCATAAGTGTTCAGCTACTAAAAGGCATAACTCTGAAAATCAACATACAGCATTGCAAACTTGTAACAAATTTCACTGGGGAACATCCCTCACACGCGCACTTAACCTAAGGTTAGGAAAAAAAAAGAACTGTCTCATGTATTCATTTTATCCAAGGCAGAAAATTACAAAAACTACCATTCAAAAAATAGTGAATTTTAGATGGATCTACAGGCATTCACTTGGTTGAAAAAGAAGGAAACAGTCTGATGGTGTTAAATTGAATTATTTTAAGTCTGCCAAAGCCCGTAAAAGATGCCAGTTCAAGGGAATGCATTTGTGAAGACCTTCTTAAAGAACTAGCTAACATGTTACACATGAGGCAAATCCCAAGAACTCCCAAATACAACCAGCTCTTTTACTTGGATTTGGACCCAAGCTGACCTAGAGTGTTTAGCATTCTTAACCACTGGTGGGCCATAAACAATTTAAATAAAACATACTAATAATATTACACTAATATGATATGTCATGATGGATCTACTCTATAAGTTCTTATCTAAAAAAGCAGGCTTCATTAAAGAACATGGAACATAAAAGTAAATCAAAAAGTGTTTCAAAATAATGTTTGGTACATTTATGCAAAAGCCATTTTTATATAGTATCACTTAATATTATATTAGATATTACTTAACTACACTTAAATTTATATTACATATGCTAAATCTTAATTTTGAAAAGAATCTACAATTTACTTTGCTAACCATTTAAAATACGAGCAACTCTCCAGAGTCGGAGTATGATAATTAAATCAATTCCGTTTGAAACTGTTTCTTGTTCCTGGAAGCCTATATCAAGAGCAAAGGATAAAAATACAACAAAGGCATCAAAGACTTCCAACTTGTGACGGAAGAATTCTGTTCGGAAAGCATAGATTTTAAGTAAAATTTCAATAATGAAAATGCTCAAAATTGCGATGCTCATATAATGAAGAACCTGAAAAGAAAACAAAAACATAAAAAAAAAAAAAAACACTTTAATACACAATAATGTAACTATGTTGAGTTCTAATGCCTAAAACCATGTACAATTTTATTATACTCTGCACTGACCAGAACAAAACTAATAATTTTACAAAAATCTAAAAACGAAAATACAAAAAAGTGTTTAAATCGATATTTAAATATTCAATCAAAAGAATGAAAAGATAAATATTTTAATTCCATATTTAAGCAACAGTCAAAATATAAAAATATTTAAAAAAACCACCATGACAGCCTACAGAAAGTATGTGCACAAAAACAGGCAAATATCAGGGGCAGCAGAGATGGAATGATAATAATCAATAAAATACAAGTTGATTTAGAATTAATTACAATAAAAAGAGGTTCATTGCATTTTAACTAATAATCAACAGCTTTAGAAAAACAAAATTCTGCCAAAACACAAATTGAAATCTATAAATACTGTGCTAAGGACATTTTACTCACATAGGATGGTAAACTTACTCTGATAAACTTATTCTAGGAAAATGGTAGTATTTGATGTCGGCCTTAGAAAAAAATCCCTCCAAGGTATATATTCTATTGAGAACTGGCTGGCATTCATACTGAACATTATGCCATTCACATGGCTGATTGACATTAGAATTAATCGTCACAGAAGCATTTTGATGTAAGCAAAATACCTCACAAAAATCTGATTAACTATATTTTTTAGATACTTTCAGAAGAAATGATAGGTACTTTTCCATTTTGCCAGTGCAAATCTCACCAAGCAGACTTTATTGGCGACAACATACAATATAGACAAATAAAAAAAAATTTTAACGAATGTTAGTTCTAAGAATTTTTTTATTTTGAAAGCATAAACATTTTAATACCATTTAAAATTTTGTAAAAAGCCAATAAATTTGTAAAAAGACATTAATTTAAGAATTTACTATGCTATGGTTCAACATTCTGATTCGCCGGTTCATATCACTTGACCCCGAGTGATCTCATCTCACGTAAACTACGTTACAAAAATCTAATTCTCTTAGCAATTATCTACATTAATTTCAAGTTAAATCTTAATTTGGAATATAAATTTAAATGCAAGAATTATTTCAATTTATACAAAATAGCTTACTCAGAAATTATGCAAAACTGCAGTGCTTTACTTCGCTAGTGCATTCTCATTAGAATTGATGAATTTAACCCTTGACTTTGCCTTTTCTATATTTTCGCCTTCGGGTGAGCGGTGTGTCTGCATTCTAGTTGACTTAATTACTGCGAATAGCCTTAGGACATAAAACTGAACTATCTGGTAAAAATTCTATGTGTAATTGTATGCTAGTATTGAAAGAAACAATCAATCTGATAAGAAATGGCTGCAACTTATTTCTCGATTCTTCTTAACTCTTCTCGACATAAAATTTTCATGACCTTCATCCCCTCCCCACACTTTCACTAAATAGAACTACAAGTAAAAAAGAAATGCCCAAACATTAGCCTACAATTTCTTTTATTTGGAAGCTCACTTCGTTCCGTGGTTTAAAAATAAAATTAAATAAATAAATGTATTTATAAGCTTCTTAAGATTTATTAGAAAAAGAAATAGTAAAATATTATTTTAAAATATATTACATATATGTGACCAAACAAAAAAAATTTCATTCAAAATAATCACAATATATAAACATCATAAAAAGTATATGTTATTATTATAAGTATAAAGAGAAAATCATTTCTCACAGAAAAATATTACCAACATTTAAAACTATACTATTAATGAATTTGCTCTTAAATTTCCAATAAGTCAAATCACGGCATACAGACTAAACATGGTAATAACATAGTTTTTAAGAAGAAAGGAGAAAAATGAAAATTAAATTTATAGAGAATCTATGTAATTTTGCAACTAAAAAATAATAAATACATAAATAATATGAATTAAAAATAAGAATGAAACTAGAATTTCTGTATCATGTTTAGTAAAAGAAGTCATTAATCATGATGATTTTTTTTAACTAAAAGTTTTGAAATTTCACATTCAAAAGTAACCTTTTAGCTAAGATAATGACACTGTTATGAATTTTGTATATAGGAAAATAATGAGAAAATTTTATGCAAAACTAATATTTTTTGTATAATGAAACATTAAATGCTTGAAATAGATGAAGTTCTGCCAGAAAAATAAGAATACAGGGAAAAGACTATTTAACATTGAGTAAATGACTATCTTGCTAAATTGCCGAAATATCGGCAAGTTGGTGATGGGTTTAGTAACTAATTTTTGTCACTAAATTTGGCGATAAATTTCCAAATGTCGTCAAACTTAGCCACCATTTGGTGTCATTTCGGTCCTGTCCTTGTACACCTGCAATTGATAGTGTAATTGAATAATTGTAATTGATCCCTATATGTAACCGCATCTACCTTTATATGTAACCGTATATGCCTTCCAGTAATTTTGAGAAACAGAAGATATTACAGATTTCTCAGCAGCTGGGGGAAAACTATATAAGATCAGAGAGAGTATCAGCTATCAGTTTTTCAGTTCTGAGTTAATTTAGGAGTACTGGGACATCTCTGGGTTAGCTCTACTCTTTAGATGCAATTCACATTGTAATGTATTTAACATTATTAGTACTTTGAAGTATAACTACTGATTGTGCTCTGGGATACTGAGAAGAGTTGTATGAGTATTTTTTGTGTAAAGTTCCAGAACTGTTTCTTTTGGTAAAATAAATTTTATAACATTATTATATATAATAATGTTATAAAATTTATTTTAAATATTTATTTTAAATAAATTTTATAACATTATTATTGATTCTCTGTGCATTCAACCAATTACGAACCTGTATGCAATACCAACAATACCAACAGATCTTGATTTATAAGCTATTTTGTTTATCATTTAGTAAACTTCTTTTTTGTAAAAGTTTATTTTAAAAATTTTAATTAATGAATTAAATTCTTTTAAAGATTTTAAATTCATCAAAATTCATTAATTTTAACTAACAATGTGCAGCATATACATAAAAATTTAGGACAGCTTACATAGAAAAACAAAATGGGAAGAAAACAACTTTATGACTGTTAAGTAATCTTAACTATTATTTTAATCTTTTACAAAAATTCCACCTGATGCTACAGACTTTTTTGTAGCTTCTGCTTTGCAGAAGATAGTTTTTATTCCACCTCTGTCGTCACAATTTTTCTGAAATGCTCTGAAAAAGGTGTCCTTTAAAGGGCATTTCACAGTCCACGGGCATCAAACACAGCTAGAAAAAGGAATGATTAAGTTCACTCATGTAGCATACCTCCAAAAAAAGTCTGAAAGGGTTTAGATTTTAACAGTAGCACAAAAGGGTTCTTTTAAAGTTTAATGTGGTTTATCTCTAGAGATTATCAATACAGATGGCTCAGATGGAATAGTGAAACATTTTGTAGGATACTATATGAATATAGATTTAGATTAACATGGAATATATAAATTGTCTGTACAGTTGAAAAGTATACAAAAATATATAAAATAATTCTAATCTAAAATGTTTAATATTTTATAGTAAATCATGAATTAAATGCCTTTTATTTAAATCAATCAGATTAGCAAGTTAAAAAAATATATGTATTCCTAAGAATTGCATCTACTGCTTTTAAATAGTTTTTTGTTAGCCAATAGCAAATAGATTAAATCTGAAAGAATTATTATTATTATTATTATTATTTTAATCGAATGGTAAGCATTTGCCTTTTTTCTTGTATTCATTACAGATTAAATCCTTTATTATGTTCACTAAGTGTTCTTATTCAACATGCATGATTAGATAATATTTAAATTTCCAATTTAACAATGAAAAAACAAATCTCTATAAAAAAATCCAAACTTCTGTAAATCTGTAGAGTAATAATCCAGAGGTATGTAATCAGTAGCATTCCAAAGAACTAAATATAGTCATAAACATAGTATGTTTTTTAATTCAGAAAATAAATGACATTTAATATTAAATTTAATCAGACTTTCACTTTCAATATCATACTTCATTATTCGCCAAAAAAAAACTTAATTGCATACTGATTAAGTGATTATGTGCAAACATCTCCTCTGATAATAAGAATTTTTTAATGATGTGTTTTTTAATTGGTTGCAACACCCAGAAATTAATTCTTCTTATCACTGATAATCCTGCAATCAGATAATTTTGAAGATCACTGAAATTAACATTGGCATGTTAATTTCTCACCCACTCACCTGATCAATTATAATTTTTGTTATATAAAAGGGATTGAATGATGTTTGAAAGTTCAAAAACAGACATAAATCATTTACACATAGTAACAATAATTGTATTTAAAGAACTAAAAAACAAGAAGATAAGAAGTGGAGGTAGAATTTATTACATAGTGAAGAATCTTATACGATGGCAAAAATTACACACTTCAAATAAGGTTTTAAAAATTCCCAATAAAGGGAAATTCCCTAAAATATACAATGTTCCTCAGTGGCAGCTATCAGCATTTTTGAATTGAAGTTTATGTTGAGTGAATTTATTTACTTAGGCTTTGCAGAAATAATTTACACTTTTCAAACATCATAAGAGAAAATAATTAATGGATAGGGTAACTGCTAGAAAAAATTATGGGATTTTTTTTATTTCCTGGAAATATTCTGGAGAGAATTAACCCATTTTAGGGGAGATAATCCAGTATATTTAACAAAAAATTAATTTTAATGCTAAAAGTATCTGCAACTTTTAAGTTTAAGAACTTGCTCCTTGCATGGCAAGTGAGCAAAAACAAATAAAAAGAAATAATAATGTAAAGAGTTTCATAAACAAAATATTGAAAAGTAAATTACATATATTTTGCAGTAGGTTTATGTTTATTGTAAGATGCAGATGACTTAAGAATGTGTTAAAAAATTACTTGCCAAATTTTCAAAAGTTAACTGAATTTATCCAAAAATACCTGAATCCCAATAAAAATATTACTAAGATTTCATGAGAT